GGTCCAAGTATCTTAAAAATCATGCTGGTTTATTCAAAGGATCACAGGCAAAATTAACATTACACGTCCAGGCATCTTCCATCTCCAATACTGCGCGCAGGCAGATGAAGAATGAAAGACCCCGAACCCAACAGGCCTGTACATTATATCTGGTTTGGGCTAACCCCATTCTACACAGGCACGTCAAACCGTGGCGTCACCTGATATGCCAGCTTTACAGCTGACCGTAGCAGTAGTCAAAACATGGAGAAAATCAATGTGTGTGAGTGTTGATTAAGTGGTGTGTATCTAAGAACATACAGGACATTCAGGGACATGTCCGGACATTAAGCCTAGGAAGATATTATGATTAAGATTACGGCTAAACATATCATAATAATAACAATAATCATCCTGCCTGCTGACAATCAAACTTTTCTATCTAGTTATCCTTGCCTACGTACACCCTGCTAAAATCTCATGACAATGACTAAGCGTTTAAACTAGACATCCTGTCTCCACTAAACATTTCTAATACAACAAGTATCTAACCAATATCTATCTGACTAAAAAAATACCTAACACTTGCTTTGGTTGAAGGCCCACTTAGGGTATCCACAAGCCCTAAGCCCTAAGAGCAAGGCTCACCAAATGGTTAAATTCCAGAGACTACAGAATGGACAGCCAGCCTCAGATGTCCTTGGTTGGAGGAGAAAGGAGGAGCACAACCCACAACCATTGCACAACGACAAATGGGTCAAATGGGTTCATCTCTCAGACAGAGAACTCACGGACACAGAAAAAGATGTATTAGCCAAGGGATTGAACTTTGTGGTCACACCCAAACAAATCCCTGTGGTAGACTTCATCACAGCCACAGAGACAGCCATCAGGAACAACAAGCTGGCCGAGACAGAGGCGGAAGAACTGAGGATGACGGTCACAGCTGCTCTGGCCAGTGCCAAACTCCCACCCCCGAACCTTACCCCTGAGGAAAGAAGGGCTTTAGCTGCACTAGAGAAGGATGAAACCATCACAATCCTTCCAGCAGACAAAGGCAGGTGTACAGTAGTCCTAAACTCAGCTGACTATCAGACCAGAGTTTCTGACCTCCTCAGTGACACCACCACCTATGAAGCACTGAAGAGGGACCCCACCAGTGGCTACAAGAAGAAGGTTATAGACTGTTTACAGAAGCTGGAAAAAGGAGGGCGCTATCGACTGGCGACTATACTACAGACTATACCCCGGTGAGGCCATCCCGGGCCTTTATGGCCTACCAGGTTATAGACTGTTTACAGAAGCTGGAAAAGGAGGGAGTTATTGACCGGCGACTATACTACAGACTATACCCCAGGGAGACAATCCTTTGCTTTTATGGCCTACCCAAAATACACAAGGACGGAGCCCCACCCAGACCCATTGTCAGCAGCATCAACTGTGACTTACAACATAGCCAAGCACGTGGCCACCATCTTGGCTCCTTTGGTGAGAAACACACAACACCATATAATAAACTCCCAGGACTTTGCAAGGAAAGTCCAACAACTGCAGCTGGACCAGGACGAGACCATGGTTTCATATGATGTCACATTCTTGTTCACTTGCATCCCCACCACAGAGGCTGTCAGGGCGGTGAAGAGGAGAGCGCTGAAGGATGACCCACTAAACA